CTGTCCGAGACGAGCACTCTACCCCTGAGCCACAACCCCAGGCCTCTTCCTTTATTCTTATGGACTTGTTACATCTGGAGTCATTTCCTTAGCCCAAGACAGGTTTGCTCAAACTCACCTCCTTTGGGCTGCTATTGCCAAATATTACTTTCGTATATATTATAAGCACAATAATATATTATAAACATACAAACATAAAGCTTTATATGAATACTTTTAGAATTAGTTATTAGGCAGTAACTTTGTATATCATGTGACCATCAGCATAGGCTTATTATTGCTTTATGCTGCTGCCTTTTCAATCATGTATAAAATAGAGATGCAAAATGAAATATATGCCCAATACCATTTTATTTATTTATGTACATAGTCTATATTTGGTGATACATTATTCTCACACTTTAGTTTTGAGATCCGTTTTTTATTCTTCAGTTCTTTAAAAATATATCACATTCAAGTTTTTCTCTGGTTTAGTGCCAAGTCTTCATTGTCTAGGGTAGTTTCTGTTGATTTTTATTCCTGGGCATAGGTCATACTTTCCTATTTCTTTATATGTTTCAAAATTTTGTTGAAACCTGGGTGTTTTTAATATATGCTCAGTCTGGTACTTAAGTTTGTCTCCTTCCTGGGGTTCATTGTTGTTGGTTGAATTTCTTCCATTAATTGCATGAAGTCTGTATTCTTTGATGAGTGATCACTGACATGGTCTCACTGTTGGGTTTGTGTTCATTTCATTAGTGGATAGAGCTCTCCTGAAAGACCCTGCATGATATGTTTCCCAGGCTCTGTGAGGGATGCTGTGTGTGCTCACGGGCAGCCTTTTTCATAATTCAGTAGGCATTTTACAACTCAGACTGAGCTTCCTCTCCTGCTTGCACAAGAACCCTAAGGCCATCAGGAGGAGGAGTTATTTCCTTGTCAAGTATTTTTGGGGTGTATGTGCAGTTCTGCACAGGTATTTTTCCTCTTAGATTTCTAGCATCATATCAAAACTTTAAGCTCCTTCAATAGATACCTTATTCCCCAGCTTTTCATGAGATTTTGGTCAGATTTTTATATTTCCCAACTGTCATCGCTGTCTTATTTGATTGCTACTTTAATAAGTTTCACTGATGGTTTTCAAAAATCGCTCTATGGGAAAACTCTGTTCTTTCCTGTCAATGGAGCTTAGAGCCAGATTCCATATAGACAAGTTTTGGCAGTGGGTTTCAGTGGCACTTCCAGACCAATTAGTGATAGTTCTCTGAGTATGAGACCTGGGAGATTCTAGCACTTTTCTCTCTCATGATGGATGGCTGGGCTGCTGGTTTTCAGCTTTACTAATTTCCTTTGCAATTGGAACAAATTACCACATGCAGTTGATTAAATGAACCCAGATGCATCATCTCTCATTTCTGGAGGTCAAGAGTCTAAAGTGGGATCTTGGGGCTGCCTTTGCTTTGGAAGCTGTAGGAAGAATCTTTTTACATGCCTTTTCCAGATTTTGACATCCTGTGAGCTTTCATAGGATCATTGTAATTATATTGGGTCCAGTAGGATAGCCCAGAATAATGTTTACATCTCAAGATCCTAAATGTAATCATGTTGGAAAAATACCTTTTTCTCACATATGTAATATATTTACCTGCTCCAGAGATTATGACATGATTCTATTGGGAGACCACTATTTTGTCTACTAGAATCCTGCCTCTGTTTTCAAAAGATTCATATCCACCCTATATGCCAAGTATATTCAATCCACAAAATTCTCCAAAATCTCAAGACATTATATTATTAAGTCATGTCCAAAATGTCATATAAATAGCACCAACTCAAATGTTCAGAATATCTTTAAGCAAACTATATATTGGTTGTGATTCTTGATATGATCCATCCCCCCATCCTGAATCAAAATTTCTCTCCAACTTTGATCATAAAACAGGAGAATATGTTACTATTTCTATAACCCAGTGACAGGAGAGGTATAGGACACCTGTTAAAGACATTTCTGTTCAAAAAGGGAGAAAATAATGAAAAGGAATCGTTAACCCCTGTAATTCTGAAGTCCAGCATGTCAGCTCCACTAGGTGTCACAGCCTTGGAATAATGCTCATGACTGTCAGTTTCATCATCTGCTCCAGGACTCAGCACTCAGTTCCTGCAGCTCTGCCCTGAAAATCACCAGTTTTTTTAGGGAAAAGCATAGGACTTTTCAGCAGAGTAATTTAGACCACTTCCTGCACATAGAAATTTGTTATTCCAGAAAATTTCTCTTATTTATTCCCTTCCTTGTCTTTCTCAGCCCCAGCTGGGCACTCTTTCTGTCTTCACAATGCCCTTAAGAACTCTGGGCGTCTCCTGGGCATACCCCTAGATGTAGATGCACTGGGTTAGACAGCAGGCTGCTCCGCCAGAGGCCGCTTTGACAAGGACACCTGCATTCTCGACTTCTGCTGAGATCATAAGTTACTCGCGTAACCTTTGTAAAGAGCCCTCTGTGTAACTGAATAGTCTAAGATGTTAATACTTCCATGCACCAGGAAAAGGTTATCCAGCCACTCCCTTTTTTTTCCTGCTCTCTGGGACATTCTTTCCTGACACTGAGAGTTCTAATTTGAGTGTTTTCTGAAATTTGGGTAGACTGAGAATGTCAAGTCAAGATTACTTTTGGCTGAGAAGTTCTTCTTTCCAGGTTTCTCTGTCTTATCATATTGCACTGAAAGCAATTAAAAAAAATAAAAACAGGACATGATTTCAGCATTGGGTTTAGAAATTGAAACTAAAGGTCCAAGCTCCTTTCTTATAAATTCCTCTTTCCAAATAACCTCAGGGCACAATTAAGCTAAGAATTCTGTGATTACATAACAAGAATCACCTTTCCTCTTGTTTCCAGTAACATTATTTTTTCCAAAGCTCTCACAAGCAGCAGTGTGAGAAATACATTTGGAAATGATGATGTTGCTACTAACAGTTGGTTAAAGTAGACCGGGCACTTTTTATTGTGCTTCTCCAAATTCTTCCAGCCTCCATCCATTCTCAATTCCAAAACACATACATATTCTTTAAATAGTAACAAAGTGTCCCACTTGCAGATATCAATGTCTGTATTAATTTTCTCTTGCTTCAGGAACATCACTCCACATTTAGTGGCTGAAGCAACACATGTGTATTATATCACAGTCAGCAATGCAGAAGTTTAAATTGAACCAACCGTACTCTGTTCTTTTTGGAGTTTCTAGGGAAACTCTGTTTGTCTGCCTTCTCCTGCTTCAGAGCTGCCAGGATTCCTTGGCTCCGGGTTCCTTCCCCAGTCTTCAAAGTTGGCAGTGTAGTGTTTCCTTAGATCTCACTCTCTGCCTTTCTCTACTAGGGACACTTGAGACTATAGCAGATTCACAGAAACACAGGAACATCTTCCTGTCTCAAGATCACATCTGCAAAGTTCCTTTTGCTACAGAAGGACACATAATCCTGTCTTTGGGGCTTAGAATATGCACATCTTTGGGGGACATATTCTGTCAATTACACTATGACCATTGTAGCTATCAGACTATTGATTTTTTAAGCTTCTGTGAAGCTGGAGCGAGGAGCTGGGAATAAGGTAACTTGAAATGCCACCAAGCATACTTTTTTTAACTGAGATTTTTCTTGTTGTTCTTACATAAATGCCCTTTAGATTTTTGCAAATCTTTGGTTAATTTTCAGAATTCTAAAAAAGTTTATCCTGATATTTTGTTTTAACCAGTGTTCTGAAAACTTGGTTGAGAACCAGAATTCCAAAGAACCATACTTTAAATTGTGTGTGTGTGCTCTTGGGTGCGAAATAATCACTGTATAAATGATTATGTGGAATTAAAACCAAGTCAAAATATATCATTCGTCTGCATTGCTATGTGCACAAATGTTTTATAAATAAACAATAAATATACATTTAAAGAACTCCAATTACTTACATCTTAATTTTATATGCCTCAATAAGTATAGTCTTATATAGTATTAGTATATATACATATAAACATTCATATGTTTTTCATAGTTTTAATCAGTATAAATATATAGGGAAGACAGAAGACAGAAGAATATAAAGAAATCATGTTGGATAAATTGGTGACCCTTCAAATGTTTACCCAGAATCTTTAAATGTTTGACCTATTAATGTTTATCTCTAGCTTGCTAAATCAATGTATCAATACTAGTACCTAAACCTGTTTTTAAACACTGTCACAATTTAAGTATTTTTTTATGTCATAGATCTTCAAAGAACAGTAATAACCATTCAATTACATAAAAATGAATAGTTCATCTGTATCCTCAGAGTGAACATACAGCTTGCATTAATGTTTCATAAAATATACAGTTTTAAAATTATGGAATGAAATTCTGGCTCCTCCATGTGATCACACATATAAAAATAGTTTACCCTTAGGGTAAATTGTGTGTGTTCACCGTGAGAAATTACAGATCATTTTGAGTTGAACTCTCCTCTCAGTTTTAGGAGACAACAACTACAAACCTCAGGGACGTTGGGTTGTTACTTTGATTTCTTAATGAAGGGTGGAAATAGAATCCAGATATGCTGGAGAGAAACGGAGGTCAGATCACTTTATTCAATTGGTTAGTTCTAAGTCAGAAGAAAGATGACATCAGAGCTTCCTATCTAAGGGTCAGAGAAGCCAGTACCTCTGTCACCATGACACTTGTTCCCCGGATCCCTAGATGATCACGTAAATATCTTCTTACTGCTTTGGATACTGAACACCTGTGTAGGATGCTCAGATGTTACATTAAACCTACCGGTTTACAGCTATCCTGTAAGAAAAGACAGCAACATTTTCTCTTATAGCAGACTGGCAGCAATGAAACATCAGTAAACTCAGGGACCCCTTTGACTGAAGACTGTTGGGATCCTCGTGTGAATCATAAAATCTCCTTTCGAATGGCCATGAAGAAGGGCCTAGACCAAAGGAAGTGGCCAGTTAGAGAGCCAGAGACTGTCTGAAATCTACCTGTGAAATGCCTACCTTAGAGATCAATTTGAAGAGGCTTGGTCCTCTGTCTGGCCCACAGTCCACAATCTCTCTAAGTTACTATTAAAGAGTGTAAAACCAGCAGATCCAAGCAGCCACACATAAACATTCCATTCAGAACTTGGAAGGCAATCAGTTCTATGAATGCTCCCCTGAACACTTGCGTAGAAAACTCATGATCCTGCTGAGCTGGAATGGCAGCAGAGCTCCAGGAGAAATGCCAGGGCCTTCATACTTTAAATTCAAAAATTTCAGCAGTTGAGGCCACTTTCTCACTTATATCCTGATCACTAAAGGCCGTACCGCTTTGTTGAACAATGAACAGAGGAACAATCTGTAAAATGGCATTGTGGCCCATAAAAAGAAGGGCATCACCTCTTGTCCTCTGTGATGCTGGTTTCCATTTTCACTATTTTTTTTGAGATAGTTTTCCTGAGAAGTCCCCCTTTCTGTCAAATATAAAAGAGAATGGCTATGTAGAGTGTGAAGTAGAACAACATATTTGGTAACAGGCTTTGGAGGAAAAAAAAAAAAAAAGATGAAGACTTGGTACCTAAGCATGGGAGCAAAATATATTCAAGATGGAAGAAAGGAAGAGCCACTTCAATACATGAAAGACCGGGAACGAGGGTGGCAGGGTGAGCTGCTTTCTTCTTCCCCAAGCTGAAGGAAGAAATTTGGACTCCTGCGAAGGGATGTGCCATGGAAGGTATCCTCCATCTTGCCCCCATGGATGTCAATGAGCACTGTGGGTGTTGCCTGTGAACAGGGTCAGAGGTTCCACACCAGTGGTTGAGGAGAGACCAAAGCCCACCGGCATTAGTTGGGGGAAAAGCCTAGGATAAAGCCTCATGGTAAAAGCTGAGCTCTGCCTGTCCAGAAGGAACGATGTCCCTCAGGTAGGCAACTTCGCCCTGGAGAAGAGAAAGGAGGCTAAAAGTTCACAGCAAGCAGAAGTCCCATAAGCATCTCAACCAGAGCAGGGTGCTGGAAATCTCTCCTTGAAGTGGACCAGAAAGGAGCAAATGGCTCTCCAGAACCTCCCCTTGGCCTCCAGGAACCTGTTTGTATAGAACTGACAGAAACAGATGGTTAAAAGAAACCTGGAGATGATATCTTGAAGTGGCACCCACTTTCTCCACCGAAAAGCCCGCTTCACCATGGCTGATTTTAGGACTGTCAGCAAAAGAGTCTCTGCAAGAGAGTCCAATGTATATAAAATTCCCATTTTCGTGTCGCCCTGTTTACTTGGCCACTGGCCGAGAAGATACCAGCACTCCAGGTGCTGGACACCCCTTACTAGTTTTTCACAAATGTATCCAGTATAGTACTTTGTAGAAATGTACAAACAAGGCCTCTGGCCTTGAGCTGGGGTTTCACAGAGACATCTACATTTTTAAGATAAGTTACAAATGAGCTCCATGGTAACAGCTGGCAGGGGGAGGAAAGAAAGGGGAGAAGAAGCTCTCCCCTTCTCAGGTGTTGGCCTTGAAGAGTTAACTTGCCGAGAACAGTGAAAAAAAAGCTGCTTTTATGTGAACTTCTGTAGACTGTGAAATTCTGAGCCCCTCCCCTTACATACTGGGTATAAAATTCTGAAATTCCCTGAACTCGAGGTTCAGGGGATTGATTGATTATAGCAAAAGCTGTGCCTTCTGAGCCTGGCTGCAGCCAAATAAAACTGTTTCCTGCTATCTTCGGTGCCTTGCCTCATTTGTCCCTACAACAATCTCAACTCTAAAGTCTCACATATCCAGATTTTTGAAAGTGAGACCTATTGCCTCTCACAATCTTTCACCTAGATGGGCCCTTTCAACTTCCTTGTCTGTCAGTCACTGGAAAGACTATGCTAGGAATTCCAGCTTGTACCAGAATTATGAGGTTACACAGAAATCCCCAAACCAGAACTGTTAAAGATTAATATTAATATTATGAGCTTTGTCATTAACTAAATTAGTGATATTAAATCCTCTGTTTGTTTTCTTATGTACAAATTGTACTTTAAGCTTTCCTGTATTTTCAGAATCCTCTATGGGTGTGCATATTTTCAAATACTCTTTTTTTTTTTTGAACTTTGAAAGAAGTTCCTGTGTTCATGGTTTGATATTTGATATGATATATGTTAGATAAGTTTTGAACTTATTGTAAGTTCACAATTTACAATAAAATGTCAAGGAAACTAAAATTAGGAAAATTAGAGGATTTGTGAATTAATTAAATAAATAAACCCCCAAAAATGTCATTATTACTTTTACTTGAATCACATACCAAAACCTGAAATTAATCACAAATAGATGCTCGTAGTACAAGAAAGCACTGAGCTACTTAGTGAGGAATATACTACATTAGAAATGTCTACAGAGAATGAATAAATCATTCCCCACAATACAGTTTCCTGGTTAACATACTGTCTGCATCACCTTAAAGTCATAAAGGTGTTTATAATCAGATGTCATCTATCTATCTAAGTAGAGTGGAAAATCAGTGGCGTATTAGCTATACATCTAACAGTAGTAATGGTATAATATGCTTAATTAATGCTAAAATAAAACCTAAAGCAAGGAAAGTAAAACCAAAGCTTAGAGATACTTAATCAAGGATTTTGGCTAAATTTAAAGGTACAAAGTACAGGAGCCTGACATCAAATCTTGGCCATATTTGAATTTAAACATTAAAAATATATATATACATTTGCCTATTTCTGATATGAATAAATTTAATTATCACCTCTTATTCATAGCTCCCTAAGAGTGGATGGAACCAACTCTTTAAAAGGTTCTCTTAGGGGCTGGAATTTTGGCTTAGTGGTAGAGTGCTTGCCTGGCATGTGTGAGGCACTGGGTTCGATTATTAGCACCACATATAAATAAATGAATAAAATAAAGGTCCGTCAACAACTAAAACAACTTTTTTTTTTAAAAAAAGGCTGTCTTAGTAATTGGTCTGATTCTCCAAATTTTAACTCTGACTCAATCTAGAAGCACAATGTCAAGTCTGTAACCTGTACAATAAAAGAGGAAAAAGCAATGAATGAAGAAAGAAACGAAAGTGGGTGATCCTTTAGAAAATCAGGCATTGGGAAACTGCATTTCTTTATGTCTGGAACGCTGTGGTCTTGAGAGGCACCTCCCGACTGGGAATACTGTCTCATCGCTTGACAGAATTTCAGATCTCCACTGGCAATTTAACCACATGAGATCTACATTTTTTTATATCCTCAGATAACATGTACATTAACAGGTAGTGATAAGAATCAATTTTTTCCTTTTTTTTTGAGAAAGAGAGAGAGAGAGAGAGAGAGAGAGAGAGAATATTTATTTTTTAGTTTTTGGCAGACACAACATCTTTGTTTGTATGTGGTGCTGAGGACCAAACCCGGGCTGCACTCATGCCAGGCAAGCACGCACCGCTTGAGCCACATCCCCAGCCCCTCAATTCTTTCTTTTGAGAATGTGATTGCTTTAATAATACACTCCTACATCTTCAATGAGATAAGAAAATACGGTAAAATCAGTACATGTTTAAATGTGTTTCTACTTCTTGACACACACAGATTTAATCATCAAATCCTAGCACCCTCCCACATTTATAAGAGCAATGATTAACACAGTACAAAAAAGCCCATATGTGGTAAAACTAGAGCATCAGTTCCCTAGGTGTGAGTCCCCTCCTGTCGGTTTTTCCACCCAGGGAGGGACAAATGAATCTTTCCCAAGTAACCCTGCATTTCACTTCATAATAAGAAAAGTTTAACTTCAAATAAGAAAAATTCAGTTGCAATATACAAGCTTAATGGTGTTTTCATTGCCCTTGCTCTGCCTTAAATACTACTACACGGCAACTGATGCTTATTAAAAATTCAGCATCACAGAGCTTAACACACGTTATAATCATAGTTTGGTAAAAGGAGCTAGATATACTGGCACATGCCTGTAATCCCAGCAGCTCAGGAGACTGAAGGAAGAGGATCACAAGTTCAAGGCCAGCTTCAGCAACGTAGCAAGGTCCTGTACAACTTAGTGAGACTCTGTCTCAAAATAAAAAATAAAAAGGGCTGGGGATGTACTTCCGTGCTTAAGTGCCCCTAAATTCAATCCCTCACTTAAAAAAAAAAAAAGGAATAACATGCTATAAATCTCAGGAAATCTCAACCACATGCACATAAATTGCACGTCTGGAAGCAAGAAGTTGTTTCTGTGCATTGATTAATTAATTTTTACTTTATTGAAGCTTTCCCAAGAGGATGGGGCAGAGGATAAACATAAAAGCAGATATCAAGAAAGCCCTCATGCCCCAGATGAGCAGTGATCATGGAAAGATCGGTCAGAGAAGGAGCGAGTGGGCAAGTGGGTTGGTCACACATTTAACAAAATTAAAAATACTGTATTTGTGAAATCAAATATGTTTTAAAACATTTTAATGTGGCAACCTAATAAGACATGTTCCATGAATGTTAGATATCCTAGATATTTATACTACATGATGCTTTACATGATGCTTTATTTAATGTTTTACATTTTAACTATATATATATATTGTAAATCATATTAATAATCTTATATATCTGCTAAATTATATATGTAGATGCAGGCTTGCATGTATACACACAGAGAAATAAATTTACTGTTTGCATTTTCAAACTTCTTTACCCAATGCACATTAGATTTCATGTCCTGAGACAAAGGTTCTCAAGCTGGGCTCCAGTTCAGCTCCATTAGTATTGCATTAGAAAGAATCAGAATGCAAATTCTCATTCAGCACCTTAGATCTACTGAGTCAGAAACTGTGGATGAGCCCAGAAGTCTGTACTTTATAAAGCTCACCAGATAATTCACCTATGTGTTAAAGTTTGACAAGAATCACTGAGCTCAAAGATCCTTAGCCGACAGGTTAAGTGGAGTAGTTATATCTATTCTAAACGTTGAACTAGAAAGGATATTTTTAAAATATTTTTGAGAAGAAGAGTGAATAATTTCAGGGAAACTCCTCCTTGCAAGTATGCCAGTAAATCTTAGATAACAGATTATAATGGATTCTCACTTTAGAGAGAAAAAGTCGGTAACTTAGGTAACACCATTGTGTTTACTCTCAAACTGC